CCCCAAAACCCCAAAACCCCAAAACCCCAAAACCCCAAATAATTAACTCAAATTTGAGATTTATAATTTATTAAAATGCTACATCTTAAGTATGTACTTGAAACATCTGTCAAGGAAGATGAGGAAGGCAATACAAAATCTGTTGCCTATCTACCCATAAAGATTGGAGAATTTGTAACTGATTCTCAGAACAATACAATGCAGTTTAATAAAAGTAAGTCATGGGAAAACCTCTCACTCAGATTTCAACCAAAAGTTTTATTTAGAATAAGCCAGCCATGGCATAGGGATTTTGAGGCACATTTTTAGCCCAAATAGTGTATTTTAGAGACTTGCCACAAAGCATTGCAGTTTTGGCATGCTGAAGAAGAAAATAGGTGAATGGATACAATTTGTCCTTTAACATTTTACTTACATGGATAATAATATTTCGATAGGCTATGTGTTAATGGAAGATTCTTCAGCAGTCCTGGAGGATAAAGACCAGCTGATGAATCTACAAGGTTTTGAACCTAAGGAAAAGAAGCCCCTAGCCTTGAATTTGGGCCTGCTCGATCCACAGAAGCCTGTATCTTTATGTGGGCTTAAGAGAAAGAACTCAAAGCCTACTGAGGAACTTGAAGATGAAATTAGAAAACTCAAGAAGCGAGTTGACGGGTTAGAGAAGGAGCTCCAAAATGCATTGCATCATAAAACTTCTTTTCACGATCTAGAAGATGAAGAAGAATTTGGCTTAAGCGATCATGATAGCTCTTCCTTCCTGAATGATAGCCTGAATATTAGGACCAAAAGCGGGAAGCTATCTGTTGGAACAGACATCGCATATCTGTACTCTGTACCATTAGTTAGGGAACATAATTCAAAGATACTTTCAATGGGGCTTCCAATAGACCATAATGCTGAGATCGATGAGATCATTAAAGTGTTGAATAATACCAACAAGGCTGTTGGCTTTAGGATGGAGGCTGCCACTATTGATTCTCTCCAGAACCTGCTAATGATAAAGCCCAAAGTTGTCCATCTAAGTTGTCATGGAGAGTTTGATAGAGTTGAAGATACCTATTATCTTGCATTTGAATCCAAAAAGGTCACGGGAATGATGGAGAAGTTGTCGATGAGCAGACTAAAGACCCTTTTCTCCACACAGACTCAGTTGAAATCTATAGAGTGTCTTATTGTTAGTGCATGCCATTCCCAAAAGATTGGAGAAATGATGAAGGACTCAGGAGTCCCTGTTGTTATCTGCATAAATGCTCCATTTAAAATTCAAGATGAAGCAGCTCGGTGATTTGGCAAAACTTTCCATCAAGCTTTGGTTCAAGGTATGAGCTATAAAGAAGCTTTTAAGAATGCTAGGAACTTTGTGAGAGCTCATCAGGAAGCGCATGAAATATACTCATGATGCTGTGCTCACCCACATAAGCCAGATTGCTTATGGATGGAGAAAGCAAAGGAAGTCGGAGATTTGCAGGCACATATGCTACATCTCCCAGATTGTACTTGTCATTTACCAGGAAACCTTCATTACTTCGAAGGTAAAAAGCTTTGAGGAATCGCGGACAAGTTTCTCGAAGAATATGCTACTTGGGATTACTATGAGCCAAATGAAGAAAGGCCAGATTGTACCAATTTATGCTGCTGATCACCAGAGATGCCTCATGACGAAAGTATGAAGTTCCTACTGTTATGTGACCAGAAAGAATATTTAGATTATAAGCCCTTTGAAGATCTTGAGGACGGCCCAATAAATATTATTAACCAACTTCCAACAGAGAATGAGCCTGTTAGAGTTGGAAACCTTTCTGCTGTCGGAAGGAACAAAGTGCTCCAGAATATTGTCGACACTCTTTCCTACTCCAGTTCAACTGAATGCAGATTAGTCCATATTTATGGTAAGCCTGGAGTTGGAAAATCTTTTATTGCAAAACACGCTGCAAAATACTTATTCGAGAGACACAACTTTAGTCATGGGTGCGTCTATATTGAGCTGAAGAACAAGTATGCAGTTGGAGAGAATCTAAGCACTCTTATATGTAACAATCTGGGGCTGACAACAGCTAACAAGGAGACATTGTGAAGATATATTTCAAAGTCTAAGCTATTAATAATATTGGATAAGTCAAGTAAAATTTCCTCACTCGATCCAATAATGCTGAATAGGACTATAGAATATTTCTTAGATAATACTGACCTCCCTCGGATCATTTGTATCACAGATAATAAGAAGGATGTGACACTTGAACCCTCATTTCATTATGAAGTAGGAGAGCTTGAGCCAGCCGATGCCTCTCAACTTCTGCTGCTCTGAGCAAGCCAATACATTGATGAGCACAACCGAGATATTAATAATCTGTCGGCTCATGAAATATTCTCCATAATTTCAAGGAATCCTTCAAGCATTGTAAGATTCTCCCAATTCCTAAAATCAACACCAAATACACTTGACGCCATTGTTAATAAAGAAAAGGAAAAGATAAGTGAGTTGAACGCTAACAATAATGCCGGCCAAGAAGAAATTTTTGAGACCGATGAAAGTTCATGGGTCATCAAACAAAGTTATGACCTTCTAATAAAGTCTCATGGTGATGACATCATGATCCTCTTTGTAATCTGTCAGTTGCCAAATGGAGTTTTTGATAGCGACCTTGAAGCTATCTTTTCTAATATCATCCCAAAATGGAAGTACTTTATTAGTGCCTTGATCAAACAGAAGAACAAACAAACACTGGATTGTTCACATTCTGACTCACATAGCGAGGAAAATGATCAAGAGACTTCATGGCTGATCACATCAGAACCTATTGAGGAGATTTGTGTGAATAGGTACTATGCTTACCAGATAGTTTACTCCTTCATCAACAGGACTATCATAACTCAGGAGGAGAGAAACGAAGCTTGTCAATTGGTTCTAAGACATTTGTCTAAATTATCCAGGAAGATCATGAGATCTATGAGAAAGACAGAGATCAAGATTCTCTCTCTGTCCAAATTTACTGCATTAATAGACGTTGGTTTGTGGAGTGACGTTGACGATTACGAAGATCCCAGTAAATATTACCGAGACTATGAGGATCTGTACGAAGATCCAAAGGTTTATTTCTCTTATCATGAGCCAAACTTTCAGAAGTTCCTAGATATAGAGTTCATTAGGATAGCTTTTCCTCTAAAAGGTACGATTGTTTGTAAAACTTCTAGAATACAGAAATGATGTCTTCATGGATAAGATCCTCACACCAAGGATAAGTGAAGAAGAAAGAGCTAAAAACAAGTACAAAAAGGATCTGATGGATAAGCTCCAAGATCTCATGAAAACCTTCCCTACTTTGCTAATTGTGCAGAACAGAAAAGAAGAAGCTTTGTACTGACTAGAAAGATGAATGATTATCTGAGAGAAATATTATTTCATTAAGACGAAGGCTATTCTCACACTGATGATAGCCTCGATTTACCTAAATGATAAGCACAGAGAATATAATGACGTGTTCTCTAAAGCTAAAAGTGCTCTGAACATGTTCATAGACCAGCACTGAGTTGAAGGAAGAGCTGAAGCAAACTTCCTGCTTGGCATGCTTTGTAAGAAAAAGAATAAAATGATGGTTAAGCCAGATATTATTAACTTGAAGAGACAAGCCAAGTCTGAAATTGCATTTGAAACAAACTTGGATCATATTCCTAACATCTCAAGAAGTGCTTCAGGGCTCAGACAGGTAACTGAAGAGGAGAAAAACTACCTTAATGTTGCTAGACAGCAATTTATTGAGCTTAAACATGATTACGGCCTTGCTAGGGTGTGCCTAGCAGTAGCATTGTGCGAGCTTGAATGATGAGGATATTTGGGAGAATTCCTTCAAGCTCAGGGCGTTGAATCATTCAAAATCTCAACTGATGATATAATAGGTCTCAAATTTAAAGAAGGAGGAATGAACCAAGACATTGAAAGATATCTACTAGCAGCTATTGAAGGATTTCAGAAATTCAGGGATTATCAGAACTTAATATCCTGCTACCTGAAACTTGGAGAATACAAACTCGCTGTAAAAGCCTATACTGAGGCTAAGACCTATGCTGAGAAAGCAGATTCAATCTCCAAGAACTACAATGAACAATATTTCAGAGCTGACTGAGTATCTCTATTAGACAGAGTCAATGAGAATATTAGGAAGAAGAGTCTGAATGTGTTCGTGTTCTTAAAGGCTTTCCCCCTCGTAGACCCCCTTGATAGGATGCACATCGGACCAATCACTCAGAAGCATAATAACTTTAAAGAAACCGTGCTGAAGAATATGAAGAATGAAAATAAAGTCCTACAAGTAAAGTTCGATGTGCTTACTCGAGAAAGCTTGAATAGTATTAAGAACCATGGATGCAGAGTCCTACATCTATCATCCGACGAATCTAGAATAGACGAGCTTTGAGCTGAAGGAAAAGATGGAACCTTGGATCCGATTAACATTGAAGAACTACGGGATCTTATCTTCCCAGTTGGAGCAATGCTGAGTATTGATGTAGTATGACTCGCAATTCCAAACAGCATGGTATTAGCAGAAATTTTCGTTTCTTTGGGTGTTCCTCATGTGTTATGCTTCAATTTCTCAGAAGAGTTCATGGCCTCTTCTTCCAATTATGATTCGCAAATTAATGCTCCGTATGAATGAATGTATTCTTTCTGCCAAGAGTTCTACAAAAGACTTGTAAGAGGAGACTCAGTACAAAAGTCTGTAAAGCATGGAAAAGATTCTCTAAAGAATTGCCTGAAAAACATCAACAAAAAGTTACAGATCTGCAACCTGACTGATAAGATGATTGGGGATGGTCCAGTCTTACTTCCTGAGGATTACGACCATGATCAATCTTTGTATGGTAACAAGCACTGGGAGAGCACAGAATTGATACAAGGAAAGCTAATTGATATGTCCAGAAATAGAGGACCTACCAATATCCCAAAAATGATCGAGCCTCTTACTGGTAGAAGAATAGAGATGCACAAGGTCTCAAAGTATCTTAATGAGAACAAAATTGTGTCAATTAATGGCCCAAGTGGGATCGGAAAGACCCATCTTTCACATTCAGCAGCTTATTTCTTGAACTGAAGATATAAATTTTTGAGTGGAATCTTTTATTTTGATTTGACATCAGTATGCACATCAGAACAGTGTAAAAGATTACTGAAGAATGAGAGAATCGAAAACCAGATGGAAAACACTCTTTTAATCTTTGACCATATTGATGAAATTTGGAAAAAGCATGGCCCCCAATTCCGTTGGTGGGTCATTGATCTTGCGGATCGGTTCAAAGCTACTATTCTATTGGTTTCAAGGATTAAAATAGCTGAGGATCTACAGGAGAGTGATGTAGTTAAAGTGAAAGCTTTAGAATTAGAACCTTTGAATGAATATGAAAGTGCTGATTTACTTATTTCTAAGATGTCTTCATCAAAAAGAGTGTTATCGTTAGAAGAACTATACTGAGACATGACAACAATGACTCTACATGAAGCTCTCCAGCATGAGCCTAACCTTCAAAACTGCCAGGGCATCCCTCAATATATCATAATATTATCCGAACTGCTTGAATACAACACTTTTGACACAATAAACATCAAACGTGAATTGCCAAACTGGATCCGTAAGAACATCCGCCAGGCTACAGCTACCCAGAAGGCCAACCAGAGCCAGTCTCTGTTCATGAACTCAAACCCTCTAAGGCACAAGGTGACTAATACTCAAGTTCAACAGCACCAACAGAAGAAGAGAAAGAGCAAGACCAAGACTAAGAACTCTAAGAAAAAATTTAAAGAGAAAAAGGATGACTCTATGTACCTCAGCAAGAACCAAAAGAGGAAACTCAAGAAGATCTCCGAACAAGAAGAGTACCAACTCATGTGCGAGGAGAGAGACAGCAAGTACTTTGATGATGAAAAGCCTGAGCCTGAGTTTAGTAAGCATTGTGAATGACCGATTTTAGATACACCAAGGAGAATTAATAGAAACAAGTTCTTAAAGAAGAGTAATTCTAGTGTTGAGAAAGAGAAAGTGCGAAATTTTAACATAACTAAATCCCAATCTACAGTCACTAACAAGTATAAAAAGACCATCTCGTTTAACATGGATGATATGCCAGAAGCAAAACCTAAGATGATCCGTGAAGAGTCTAAGTCCTCAAGGTCAAGAGATGGTAAGAAAGCTAAACTGAAGAATAAGCCAAAGCCTTGAGAATGTAAGCTAAGATGTTATTAACTTATAGTTATACCTATCAGGGAATCCCAGTTGAACAATTCAGTACTGTTCTCAACTCCAATGAGGAACAAGGATGATTTCTTAATGCCTGATAACTCTAAGAGCCTTGATGTAGACGAGCCATCGTTGAAAAAGAAAGTGCAGTCTTACAATATCAATGTTATGAATAATTCAAGTTTCGACTTTGATGATGAAGAATTGCACCATGGGTTGTCTGATCCCTTACTGGTAAGATGCTACTAACTTTTAGAGCAATAAATATAAAACCAGTGTCACTAATGTGATACCAGAAAGAGTATCAGAGAACGTACAGTCATCTAAAGTATCAGAAAGTATCTCTGATGGGCAAGAGTTCAATCCCATGATGAATACTTTATTTGTCCCGAAGCTCTCTTCTAACACAGAGGCAAAGCGCAAGAGGGTGATTTCGTTTAAAAAGAATAAGAGTGGACAACCACCTGATATTGATGGGAAATCTCCTAGCATTAATGAGATCGATGAGTACTTACAGAACTCCGATGATGATATGGACGACGAAAGCATCAAGGTAATCCTCAGCTTGAGTTTTTAGAAATTTATCAAAAAGAACAACGAAAGCCAAAAGTTAAGAAAAGAGAGCATCGATGAGCTCCTTGGTGACTCAGATGAACACGATGTCGATCTTGATAGTCTTGATGCCCCACATGAAGAGACCAAAGAAGGTCCGCTCCTCAAAATGAAGAAGTATATTCCATATTTAAACTTTTTAGGAACCGCAAATCTGATGGAATAGATTATAATGAAGATTTGATCAACTCAGCATTACGGATTAAGCAGAAAGGAAACTCTACATCTTCAGATAAGTAAGACTTGGCAGTAAACTGTAGGAAGCCTCCACCTTTCACATGAAATGTTACATCCATAGCTGATGACAGTAAGAATTTTGATATAATCAGTAGACCTATCCGATGATCTCAACTTAGATGGGAGTGTAGACCCTTACGAAGAATATGGTATATCTTTCCTCTTACATGTAGAAGGTAAATATAAGAAGGGAGGTGGCGGTTTCAAAGCTTCAAAAAATTCCAAGACAAAGAAGAAGAGCAAGCCATCAAAGACCGGCAAGAAAGCTAGAAATTTTGCTAAGAAAACTAAGAACAAGTACGACCCTGGGGCTTCGAAGCGAGCGGCTAGAGAAACGAGTAAAAAGGATGAATAAATTATTGAAAAAACTCCAATAACTATTAACCTTCAACTCTGATATTCTGAAATGGGGTTTTGGGGTTTTGGGGTTTTGGGGTTTTGGGG